GGACCTTGAGTCGTGACATGAGGTTCGCGAGGATCATGACTCTGAAAGACCTGAAAAAGCCTCAACCCCCAGTTCAATACTATACCCCGCCCCAGCTCCCACAGCAACATGTACACAAAACACCACACAAAAAACCTAACAACACACCATCACATCAACATCATCAACAACTCCAACAGCATACTTGTACAGAAGCATGTGCATAGATTCAGCACAGAAGCCTACAACAAAACACCTCACCAAAACTCAGCCAACCTAGACAATGTGTAAAATATTTTAAAAAAGACTAAGGAAGATTGGATGGAGTAAAACTGCATGGAGTGGTGTTGGCACACTCCTTGTTGTAGCCATGAACCGAAGGCACCAAGTGCGTGTCAAGCCATGGATGGTGCTGGTCGGTGGCTTCAGTCTGATGAAGTTGATGGGAGCCTTTGTGCCACCACAGGTCAAGGACTTGAACATCATGTCAACTTGGTTCCTAACTTTTGTGATTATGAGTTTGCGCTTGAGAAAAAGGCCAGTTTGATGTTTCATGTTTTGGTCTTGCAGATGGCTATGTCATTTGGAGGTGTGGTTTGGCATGCAATCAGTAAGTACTCGTACATGTTCCAAGGCCGTGGATTCTGCGGCCTTGGCTCAAGCCTGCACGTGGACGACAGGTCTGGCGTGAGGTAAAAAGGGGCGTGGGCGGGGCGGCATCCGGGCCGGGCCATAGGCGTTCGTGTTGGTGCGCCGTCGCCTGCTCTTCTGATACCTCGTTGGTCTTTGTGTTCATTTGTGGTCTTGCTCTGCAACCTGTACTACTTCAACCACACCATCAAGCATTACTTCAATCTTCCTCTTCCTCTTGGTCACCTGCGTGGGTTTCCCTGTGCTTTGGGGCTAAGGGCATTGTTTTAAGGGTGGGTTTCTTGTGTCGAGAAGCCCGGTTTTTCCCCCTTTTGGGAACTTGGGTAACGGGGTTTCCCAATTTTCTCCAGGTTATCAGCCGTAGGCCTCGGCCTACGCTGGTGACCGGGCTACTTGTCGTGGCCCAATGGAGTCATCGAGGTCTCCGATGACGAGTTTGCAGGATGAGGACGGGGCGGGGGTTGCCTTGCCGGCCCCCCGCCCCTCAACGGAGCTGGACTTCTTGGACGAGCCTTCCACTGGAGACAGGTCCGGGGGATTCGAAGATCCTGTGGAGTCTGCATCAGGTGCGATCGACGAGGAGTGGATCCTACGCCAGATGGTGCACGGGGCTGCTTCGAATGCTGGGGTTGGGGGTCATGAGGGTTTGGTGGATTGCGTGAGTCATGATGGGTTGGTTGATGCTCTTGGTGAATTGAGAGAGAGTCATGACGGGCATGCAAGAGATTCAGTACTGGGACTTCTGGATGATCCCATTGAGAATCCGACTCTTGTCGAGTCGAGACGTGAGCTTCTGGACGACCCCATTGAGGGCCCGACCGCTGCCAGGTCGGGCGGACGCGGATTTGAGGTGTCAGTGCATGAGGAGTTGGCCAGGGGATCTATGTCGAATCCCCCTGGCAGAGCTGTGGGTCATGTGGATGGAGGCCACGTGGACGACCCCATTGAGACGGTGTGGGATGACCGAGATCCCCTGGGGGAGGTGTCTCTGCCGGACGCCTCTTCACAGATGGCAGGACGATAGTTTTCACCGAGTTGGAGCGGCTTTCCAGTGACTGGATCTACTGGCGGTGCATCGCTGGACGTGTACTCCATTGACTGGGGATCTATTCCGTCGAGTTTTAGAGGGATGGAACTGCTCGGGACTTCCACTTCCAGGAGGGATCATGTCGAGACCTCGCTGGGGGAAGTGCGGGAGATTTTAGGACGGTGATGCAGGAGACCAGTCCATGGCGACTGGGCCCACTGACCTGGAGATCTTCGGCAGGCCGCCCTTCGGACTTGACGAGGTGTCAGTACCGAGCCACTCTGGTGTCTTGTCTCTGTTGGACAGGCCGGATGGTGAGGGAGCGTTGCATGTTGGTGCCAACTCTGTAGGTGAACCAACGGCCCACAGGTCCCTGGCGGACTGGCCGCGCTTTGCAGTTCCTCATGACGGAGCCTGAGGCCACTGGGGAGGGAGCGTCAGGCGAAGCATCGGGAGAATGTGACCGGTTTGGGCCTGGGGACACGGGAGTGCATGAGCGCGAGATTGACTTGCAAACAGTGGTTGTGCGCACCAGCAGCGGTTTTAACGCAACAGAAACGAGTTTTAAACGAGGCACGAATTTGCCTGGTGGAAGAGGGGCGTCAGAAGGCGCTAGGCCCAGAGATGACACTGGCGCCACCTCAACCGGAGAAGCGAGAGCTCAGGGTGAGCCAAGCGTGAGAGGGGCGTCAGAAGGCGCTAGGCCCAGGGATGGTACTGGCGCCGCCTCAACAGGAAGTGTGAGAGGCCGAGAAGAGAATGGTGTGGAGGGAGCCAATCGGCCCCGCGAACTGAAAAGGAGAGCAGAGTCCGTGCCTTGAGCCGGATCTGGGAGTGGTGCCATGTCTGATGGAGGGTACTGTTGGTGCTCCAGAGGGCACACACGGAACTCTTGGGGCTGCCCTTGGCGGCGGGCCCGGTACTCAATACAGTCTGGTCTGCCCTCAGGTTCTGGGCCTTTTCGTCCCATGTCGGGAGATCGGGCGCAGCAGGAGCAGTCTGGAGGTCCTCTGCCGGGACTTGCTTTCACATAGGGACGCCGGAGTTCTTCTCCGTCCACACACCAGTGACTGAGGGAGGCTGTGCTGGCATGCCGCCCGCAGCTGAGCCTCTCCCAGAGATCCCGCCGTTTCCAAAGTTCAAGCTTAAGCCGGGTGAACAGGCTGTCAATGTCGACGACCTGTTCCGGAGGCATCTTTAGGAGTTGGAGCAGCAGGATGACGACAGGCTCATGGCGGCCGTCGAACAGCGCAGCAGGCAGCGTGCAGGAGGAGAAAAGTCTGGCCCTTCTGATGAGCCTTCCACTGTCCCGGCCGACCCCTGTCAGGTTGCCGCGGCGGTGTTTTTCTTTGCATAGCTCATCTCTGACAGCCCCATGCTACTGAACCCGGAGGAGAAAGGGAACGACTCGGATGCTATTCCGGCTGCGCAGGTTTTCAGAACTCCCAGCGAGATCCCAGAGGCCAACATCGACAGTGAGCATCACTAAGACATGGCCGGACGTTCTCGACGGAGTGGATGTTCCCATAGCCTCGTCTTCCGAGGCTGCGTCAGGTCCTCGTCATGTCCCCCGTCGGGGGAGAGACTTCGCAGGTCGCGGGAGCTACAGAAGACGGAGATCGACTCTGACGGCGACAGTTGTTGGCGCTTCCCCCAGTCAGGGAAGTCAGTCCCAAGGTGAGCATGGAAGTGGCCAAGCTGGGGGTGCGTCTGCCGCGCGACCCATGCAGGACTCCGCAGTGCAGACGGAGCTCACCAGTGGGGACATCTCCACAATCCATCAGCTCATCGGGAAGCTCTCCGGCCGGATTGATGGGCTTGAAGCCCAGCTTCGAGGTACTGTGCTGGGCATTGATGAGGTTGAGAAGAAAGCTCATGCCCGTGTTGATGTGGCTGAGGCCAGTGCCAAGAAAGCCTTGCAGGAGAGATCCAACGCAATTGTGAAGGGAACCAAAGCATGCATCGACGACAGCTGCCAAATGCTGCCCCTGCCACACAAACACACGCCCAAGAGCACGAAGTACTGCGCCTGCCACGATTCCAACACCTGCATCTCCAAAGTGCTGCGCCTGCCACGCGAATTGGAAACAAACACACGCCCAAGAGCACGAAGTACTGCGCCTGCCACGATTTCAGCACCTGCATCTCCAAAGTGCTGCGCCTGCCACGCGAATTGGGGGTCCCCAACCGCGCGCTCGACAACATCCCAGCCTTTTAGACAGCTGCCAAATGCTGCCCCTGCCACACAAACACACGCCCAAGAGCACGAAGTACTGCGCCTGCCACGATTTCAACACCTGCATCTCCAAAGTGCTGCGCCTGCCACGCGAATTGGGGGTCCCCAACCGCGCGCTCGACAACATCCCGGCCCTTTAGACAGCTGCCAAATGCTGCCCCCTGTGTGTGAGCGAGTGTGTGTGAGTGAGTGTGTGTGAGCGAGTGTGCCGTCGGATGGATCGCTCGCGCGGAGGCGTGCGTCCCCACCCAGTTGATGTGGTGAAATAGTATGGTCCCAAAGCACAGTGTTGTAAGGACACAAGATTCCTCGGGGCGTCCGTGCACTCGTTAAAGATCGGATACCTTTTATGCCACCGGCTGAGAGTCCATGGTGGGTAGTCTGTTGGCCGCTGAGGCCTTGAGCCAAACGGCGTCGGCCGTTTGGGCTTAAACTAATTGGGACACATGAACCTGGCCTTAACAAAGCAAAAGCTCCTTTTTGGGGCCCAAACAAGAAATCCAAAAGAGAACGACACGCCTACCCTCAGAACCTATATGCCGTATGGATCACGGTCAAGGGATTCTCAGCATCCCCCACGGCAAACGGAGGTTCATCCTCGGGTTGTCGCTCCAAACAGAAAACCCTTGGCCTCGGTTCCCCCATGTCACGAACTCCTAGGCATCATCCCTGCGGAAGCAAGCATTTCGCTCCGGCGTAGGCATCAAGTCCAGGCGGATATTGTACATTCCCCAGGCGATTAAAATTGACTGGCATGTTAGGCACCAGCTAGTAGGGATGAGCAGTAGCTTACCCATTCCCGAACTTAAAAGTTCTCGGCTGATACTATCCGGCTTCGCCAGTACATGCAGTACATCCTACCTGGCCCCTAGCTGGCTTTCACGAAACTCAGGCTCCGCAATCTAAGCAAAAATTCACTCCGAACAGGCACACCTATGGGTCGGCCGGGATTGAGCATTCACCAAGTGGGAGCGGGCCCAGCAAGGATCCTGCCAAACTCGCATTGCCTCGGTGGTAGGGAGCGGGCCCTACACGCCTCGGCTCACTCCATCCGAACTCCACGATGCCCTTGCCGTCGATGTTGTGTCATCATCTACCAGCCACTGGTTACATAGCCAGGGCCAGTCTGCGCGCCTTCATCCTGAAGCGCTCCACGAGCTTTGCTGCTTCGACTTGCTTGGGAGCAACGATACCTTCAGGTATCTCAATCCCGTTCTGGACACACCACACAACGAGAAGCATGTCGGCATCCTTCTTCACGTCAGTCGTCACAATGTGAGCCACAGGGAAGTAGCTTGCCAGGCTAACAGTCTGCAACCACCCAGGGGTGAAGGCGACGTAGGGCATGCCGTAAGCGATACGGAGTATCCTCATGATTGCTCCGACCACTGTTCGTTGGTCTGCACCTCCGTCTCTTTTGAACACGTCCCTGCTAATGTGGTAGTTCATAGCCACTCTCCACAGCTTGTAAGTGTGGTAGTACCCTGACAGCTTCTGAAGGAGGTACCTCGCATTCTTCTCCACGTCGCCCTCAAAGTTCCGCCAGTGTGCATTGACATACTCGCGAGCGGTGTCGATGTCGGGAGGAAGAGGTACTCCATCAGGTCCACGCGGAGTGACAGGCCATTCGTATTTTGCGGCATAGGGCTTGGCGCTTGGATGATCAATGTATTCCTGCGGGTCCCTATCCGCGAGAGATTCAAACAACCTCCACTTGCGGAAGAGGTGGTATGCAAGGAAGTAGGCAACGTAGCTTCCTGGCTCCTCTCCGTTCAGGCACGTTGCGGGTGGCAGCGCCATGAGGTCATCGAAAGTGAGTGTGACCGGCACTTCATCATCACCGTCAGGTTGTGGTGCCTCGTACTCGTTGTCCGTTGCGTCCTCGTTGTCGGCGGCAAAGTACGTTTGGTCCCCAGACGCCTGAGCACCGGAGGCCTTAACTTCTTCCTCCTCGTCCATGTCCTCCTCCTTCGACTCCTCCTCCTTGGACTCGGTGTTCATGGCTTTCTCCTTGGCCTTCTTTGCCTCTTCGGGCATCTTCTCCTCCGTCTTGGCCTCAGGAACCTCGTCGCCGTCGTCAACGATCTCTTCGATGAACTTCCCGACGGAAAGCAGCCGGCCCTTGCAATTGACGCACAAGGTGAGGAAGGCGGGGATCAGAGTTACACGTGCCGGGCATACCCTGCAGAGGTGATCTTCCCAGTCACATCCATCGTCAATGAAGATTCGACCGAGCTCCTTCCTGATGTCGAGAACGTACTCGTTGATCAGCAAAACTTCCATCTCTCTTTCGGCCTTCTTGAGACCTTCCAGGAGCGTCGCGACATGCTGCGCCTGACCGTTCGCCTTGGAGACCTTGTCCAAGAAAGTCTCCACGTTCTGGATGAACTGCTGGTGACCGTCGGGAGCAGTGGAGAATCGGAATCCAAGGCATATCTCGTTGACCACATGTCTGGAAAACACGCAAACTGGATTCTCAACCGCCATGTTCCGCTTCCCACGAACGATCCACATCCCTTCGACCTCCGAAAAGTGTAAAGGGTAGCCGCAGATCACCGTCCCGTTCTCCGTGAGTCCACAGTCGTACTTCACGAGTGTGAGTGCGGGCACGTAGACGACAAGCAAGTGGTCACAGTCAGGAATCCAAGTGGTGGTGGAGTAGTTTCCGGCACTCCACGGCGGTAGGATCCCAAACTTCAGCAGTCTGACCTCTCCATGGTGATCTGTTTCCATGGTAAGCCCGCTGTCCACAATGTCCTGAATCCGAGTTGCAGGGCAGACGTAGTAGGCGCCACCAAAACGTGCAGCAAAGCTAGGGTCGAGCTTCACTGCGAGAGCATGGGACCGGGAGAAGGGAGTGTATGCCTTGCGAAAGTTCGCACGGATGACCCATGGCCGAATCCACCCCTGATGCTTTCCCAGCACCTCATTGATCTCCTGCCACTATCAGCCTTGAGCAAAGACGCCAAGTGCTCCTGTGTCCTCGCAATCATTCCATGTCCCCATCGGTACCTAGCACCAAGGACCTGGAAGTGCACCTTCTCCATTGCACATTCAAGCTGGTAGTTGAGGACCTCCATGAGAAGTCTCCAAGCCCTCCATGTGCATCCATCATGGTTGAAGATGACTTGGTTGCGCAGCACATCATCAATGTTAACCCAACCTCCCTCATCACAGGAAAACTCGCCATTCTTAGTTCCAGCCAACTGCCGCAGCCCATAGGAAAGGCGCTTCGACATCTCGGTGATCTGGCGGGGTGTCATGACCCTTGTCGTCCTGTCAGCATCGAAGTTTGAGTCCTGAAAGTAGCCGTAGCACATCTCAGTTGGGTTGACCGGCTCAAGCTCCGCGAAGTTCGGGAGACCAGCGCAGGCACTCATGTAGCCCGGATACCAGTTTCCATGGCGATCTCGCCCAGCATACTTCGAGGTTTCCCGGCTAGGAATCTGAAAGACATCAGGCACTCGAATGCTCCTCACACCCGTGGTAAGCTCCAGGTGGTTGACGCCCTCTAGCAGCTCGCCCTTGATGTGGTACATTCCGCCCTCAGCCAAGCAAGCCAGGTCCTCCAAAGAGATGGGCTTCTCGTACATCTTCGCCACGAACCTTGACCCCGATGACCAAAATCCTTTGGGATCTTGTACTGGTCAGAGGCGTCCTTGGGCGACTCTTCAGTCTTTTGCCTCTTCTGTTGATGATGCTGCTGCTCCTCCTGACCTCTAACGTTGGAAAGGATCCATTCGATCTTCTCCTGGTACTCTTTCTTCTTCTCCTCCTCTTCGCATTCCTCGGCGTGGTGGCCCTTGCGCTGGCAGCATAGGCAGATTCTCCTCCTCTTGGCTTCCTTGATGCCGTTGTCGAAGATCTCTAGAACGATGTTCCTATCATCCTTCTCATTCCTGCCTTTGCGCCTCGCCCTCTCTTCTGCCTTCTCCTTCTTGCCGGCCGCCTTCTGCCTCATCGTCGCGAAGTAGTCCGACATCCGTTCGAAGCCCATATCACTGGCCTCGCGAGCGTACTCTGCCTGTTCCTCCGTGCAGTTTCCAATCCAATCCTCAGGATCGTCATCCCCCATTTCTGCTTCCTCTTCAGGATCAGGCTCGTACCGCTCGAAGTCAGAGTTGTCGTCGTAGCGGCCTCCGTAGTCTCCAGGGAACTCAGAACCAGAGCTCGGTACGTCCTGCTCTTCCTCGTACTCTTCCTGGGCTCTTCGGTAGGCTTCACGCCGTTCTTCACGTCGATGTCCGCTGGTTGCACTCGAGGTGGGAGCGGGCCCAGCACTCGGTGCATTGGCGGAAGCAGAGGCAGATCCGGAGGCGGGAGCGGGCCCAGTCCTCCTTCTCTTCTCCTCCATAGCAGCCATGACCTTGACGGACACGGGATGAGCATAGACCATCTTCTCCACCCTCTTCATCTCAGAAGCTACCTTCGGTGTTGGTTCCATAGGCCATGCAGGGGGAGGTCTCCTCTTGTTGTTCACTATCTCGGGACCGACAGTTCCGGAGTTCGCGAAGTTGATCATGGAGATCTCGAGTCCACGCTTGTAGCTGTAGATCTTCCCCCATTGAGGCAGCACAGTCTCGAAGTGTTGCAGGACTTCGAAGAATCCAAGCAGCATCTCAAAGCCGTCACCAAGCAGCTCTGCGTTGAGGCTAGAGAACAACTCTCCCAAGACAGTCGTACTCAAAAGTGACCTCCACCAACCAGCATAGCAGACGTTGCCATAGTCCATTCCAATCCGAAAGAAGGTCTTAATCTCTTTAGTCTCGTGGACCTTGCACCGGAACTCCTCCACAACCAGTTGCTTTCCTCTCCTAGAGCTACCAAAGAACCCTTCGAAAGACTCCTGGTCCATCGTGATGTAGCCCAAGTGCGAGAGCGGCTTCGCCACGTTTGTCCTGAAGAAGGTCTTAATGATGTCCACGATGAGGTCGGGGAATTTCTTGCCAATGGAGAACTTGGCCATGTCAACGATCCCGCACATCTCAACGAACAACCTCAAGATCTCATTCTTCTTGACACTCGATGTAGTGTAGCCGTGGAAGTCAGCTTGGCTGTTGGCCGCGCAGTTGATGCACGACTCCGGTCGGTCCTTGTTGACTCTGTCCATTTGTTGTTCGACACCACCAGACTTGCAATTCTCGCAGAACATCCCACTTGCCAGCTGGCTTGACTCGAGCCAAGACTTGTCCTCTTCGTCTGAGGTAGACAGCTTTGCAGTTGCCGAGGAAAAGGTTCTCTCCTTCTCGTCCTCGCGAAGGCCGGAGCTCTGTGGTGGTGGGTCGTACTTGTAAAAGCGCTTCTGGTCGCTTCCAGGCGGGACATTGAATCTCACCTCCTCTTCAGCGACGCATCCCTCCACGATGGAGCTCATCTGCACCTTGGACAGTTGGAGATATGCCAGTTGCCAGTTGCTGAGAAGGAATCAGCATCCTGTCAAGAATGGCGTAGGCTAGCCTTGCAGGTGTAGTTTGCGTCACACTGCGACGCGATTGCGTCCCAGTGGTACTGCACATCAGTGACGAGAAACCCCTTTTCCCTGCACATGTTCGCAAACTTCTTGGAATACATGCCCAGGTCGCCCGTTGCCCCATGAAAGGCAGCATTGTGGTTGACATAGACAGAGACCAGGCTGTGGGTGGTCGCGGCCAACGTCTTCAGCTTTGCATCCAGGCTGGACCAAACAATCCCGTCCTTGACGATCCACTTGTTGGCTCTTCCATCAATGCAATGCAGCATCGACACCACCAAATGTACTGCGTAAGACTTCATCTTAGCATCAGCCTGCATGACGTTGATGATATGTTGGATTCTCTGCAGCAGCCCTACGTCTCCTTTGTCGGGTTTTGTTGTGTGTTGTCACGGGGTTCGGAGAACTCCTGCACACTTCCCCACCCGAGGTCGCTCATCAGCTGGATCCCGGCAAGGTAGACCTTGCCCTGGTTCGACTTGCCCCTGAGAGGCCAATCCAACATCAAGACGCAGCCCATCTTTCGTGCAGCAATGTCGATCATCTGCGGTGGATCCATGCAGTCGCATAGGTGATCAGGGGCTTGGATCTTCGCCGCAAGCTTGAGCTTCATTGGCTCATTGTCCAAGTTGTCTGCGGCCCTCACCAGTGCTTTCAACTGACGTGCTCCAGGATGAAACTCACACTCCAGAAGCGAAGTCTGTTGGCAAAGGTAAGCATTTTGCTTCAGCCACGCCGCATTGTCGCTCTTGCCGTATGACTTGGTGATCTGCATGTACTTTTTTGGCTCATGCCAGGCAAGCAAGCACGTGGTTACCTTCCGCAGATACTTCTCCCAGTGATTCACCTCCCCTTCTCGATCGGCACTGGAAACAAGATCTTGTAGGGTAGGAAAGTCCATGAGCTGGCGTACCTCACCACGTCACCGCGGACCAGATTCCCGTTGATCCCTTTTCTCTGCCAACGCTCGACTGCACTCCTTGCAGGTAGTTCTGCCATTTTCCATCTGTTGTCCGGCTTGCCACCCGAGATCATGAACAAGGCCTTCATCTCATCATTGCCGAAGTCGATGTCCTCGTTCTCCTCATCGCTGCTGATCTCGACGCCGGGTGCTGTGCCTCGACCACCATCTGGAGCGGGAGCGGGCCCACCTACCAGAGGAGGCCGAGTGAGCACTCCGCGGCATTGGCTTGGGTGCCGGTCTCGTCCTGTAGGACTCGAAAGGTGGAGGTTCTTTCCATTCTGCCCCATGCTGAATGTACCATTTTGGAAGACCGTGAGCACCGAAGTTCTCGTCCAGCTCGGGGAGTCTGTCCGGAGCCTTGAACACGCCGCAATACTTGTTCGCGTTCCAAGGGGGTACTCGGTCATTCCATTTCTCCAACTCCTCGCACCAATCTCGTCTCAACTTCTTCTCATTCCTAGCGTGGATGGAGTGGGGCGCATTTGCAGCGAAGACATAGTTGCAAACTCCCATTCCTCTTTTGAATGCATTCCACATCTCGAAACCACAAGGAAACATCTTCAGGAACTCCATGAGGTTCGACTTGATCCTGTCCATCTCTGGCAGTGTCTCTCCAAACAGCGGACCAACACACTCAATGAAGGTGTCATCCCTGATGTCGAAGACCTCAGCCAGTCGGAAGAACATGTAGTGGATCTCGGCCGTGCAAAACATGATGGTTGCCTCCTTCGCATTCAGGTCCTCTATCCCGTGCCCCTTCATCCAGAGTCTGAGCAGCCAGACCATGTCCGTCTTGTTGTCCAGGTACTTGGTCCTCCTCAGTGTGAACAGCAAGATCTTGTAACACATCATGAGGGCTCGTTCCATATCGAAGAGCAATGCACGGTTCTTCCCAATGTCATCTTGAGTGTAGCGTTTGGGGTTGCCAAAGGAGACACCAACCACGCCTCTTTTCCACTCAGGGAACCTGAAAACGTCGCTCCAAATCCTGTCCACGCTCTCCCCAATCCGCGCATTCTCTCTGAAAATGTCGCTGGTGCTCATGGGCCCCCTTGTCCAGCGGTTAGTCGAAGCGGGCTCGTCTCTGCCCTCGGGACCCGGAAAAGGTCCTCTGGCGCGCGATGCTCTCATCTTCGACATCACCACAAGGTCAAAGGTGTCCTCATTGGTCACGTTGATGGCGTTCCTATCGTGGATTGCGTGGCCGTTCTCTATCAGCCTCCAGACTTCCCCCAGACCGTTGATCACTGGCGTGGAAAGCAAATGCTTCGAGATGACATTCATGTCGCATCCCTCCACCACCTGATTGCCGATGGTCATCTCACCAATGGTCGTCGCCATCGCCCTCATGAATCTGCAGCCCTTCTTGATGAAGTGGAAATACTTCATCTTTCGATTTTTCTCGCTCATGTAGGGAAGGAGCGGTTTCGCGGAGAAGTTCATGCCGTCATTGTCACCATGACAGGCGGCTCCCTCGTGAGTGAAGGCAGCAGGGATCACTAGCAGCGCTGGCAGGCCCATGTGGACCCACTGCTTTGCAGCTTCCAACGAACCTGCGCCCTCAGCTATTCTCGGCAAGATCAATGTCGTTCTGGTGAGTTCTTGTATCTGTGTGGTCACCCTTCTGGCCACATCCTTGAAGCTCGGGCAGAAGAAGACGCTTTCCCGAATCGCGGTAGCCATCCCTCTCCTCGGTGCTAGCGGATCAGGTAGTCCTAGGCAAGATTCCCAGTTGAGAGTCCGGGCGTAACTGGCCCGGAAATGAGCCAGCCAAGCCTCAACGAGCTCTCTGCGTGGCTCGCCTCGTGCAGTCGGGTGCTCTGCGCTCGGGAGAGGGGAGCGGGCCCCAACACCCTCGCGCGTCCAGCACTCAGCGACAGTCGGGTGCCCAGCACTCGGGTGAGGAGAACGGGCTCCAGCACCCTCGTGCGTCTGGCACTCACCGACGGATCCTCTTGTAGACGATGAAGTCGCGCCTAGAGGTAGTCGCCGATCGAAGAAGACTCTTCTTCGTCTGCAGCACAAAGCAGGCTTACCATCAGGGTCTTTACCATTCATTCGAGCCAAAAATCGTCGAACTACAGTTCCGACAATCATGGAAGTGTACAACTGCGTGTCACTTGTCTCACAACCAGCACAAGGAGCATGTTCATGGTCTTTACTGCACTTTTTGGAAAGGGAATCCCCATCTTGATGTTCCAAGAAACAATTCTCCACGGCTTCTTGATTGGCAACCTCTTTCCACCTTTGGCATGCTTCTGCTTGAGTCCGTACCGACATCCATCAAAGTCATGAACGACGCCACAGTCTGACAGCTCTTCTCAACACGCCGGTCGTTCCAGTAGTCACAACCACGAGGCAACTCAAACAAGACCGCGGCACCAAGCGAAATGGCATGTTCCTTGCTCTCTTCAAAGCCTTGTTCCAACTCTAGCCCATGACGACCCTCCGGTGCAAGGACCAGCAAAGAACATCAGGTCATCCTTTTTGTTGATGCAGCTCCTGACCATGGACTGTCCGTACTCAGTCGTCAGGTCATCATCAACGGTCACTGTCACCACTTGCAAGTCGTAACGCGGCGCAATCACTGTGAACCAGTTTTGTGGCTCTGAACACGCCAATACGATCGTTGGCGAGAGATGGTTAACACCGTATAGCTTGATGGACACATTCCACCCAGGCGCCAACATCATCAACTCTTTTCCAAACAACGATCCGTCATGCTTCAACAACTGCAAGGCAATCCGTCCCTCAGAGGCCATATGAATTTGCGCCTCAATCATCATCGGGACGAAGGGTTTGCTCATGGACGTGGGAAGGAACTCCTTGATCCCTTTCCCTTTCACCCAGGCATCATCGCATTTCCCTTTGTCACGACAGACATGTGCGGCACGCATGAACCTCTTCAAGCGACGTATCGACTCAGAGTCAATGGAGTCAACTCTTCGTTTCTGAATCCTCCATTCACGCAACGACTCAACCAGTTGGATCAGCTTCAAGTTCAACGGACCATGCTCAACATCATCAGCAGGCTCACAGCAATCAGCATCCGACACATGCTTGACCATGACCGCGGCGGATATACCCTTTGAGCTACTTTCTTTGACAGGATGAAACTGCCAAACAGCTCGCTGAATCCACTCTCCGATCCTGGTCATGCCTAGAGAAGGCTCAACACGGTCTTCAACCTTTCGCCACAAACCGTTCTTCAGAAACCAAGTCGACCGCAACCATCGGGTGTTGATGTCACTATAGGCCGGCCCAGGTGGGCGAGACCGCATCAATCTAGGCCCTTTGGCAACGACGATGGGATCATGACCTTCATGCTCATGCAGACCTTCCTTGGACGAAAGCCCCTTCCAATACAAATCCGGTGGCATCACAGGCACGGAAGTGTACGGGAAAGTTGGTACCCCATCCACAGCTCCAGCCGAAGACTGGTATTCCTCATTGACGGGATCACAACTTGGCTTCAGTGCAGCAAGCGTGTCAGCGTCTTGCAACATCCAAGGTTCCATCAAGTTGATCAGCAAACAAGCATGTTTCCACTTGCGAGGATCCGTAAATGCCTTGGTGTATATGTCGGCTGCCATTTTGTCGGTCAGCTCGTACGCCAAGTACACGTAGTTGAGGTTGAAGATCTCATGGATCCAAGCAATACTCACCCCATGAATGCGTCCTAAATGTCTCATGGTCGGGTTCTTGCCCGTCCGGACGACAGCGATCATCGCTTTGTTGTCCTCGTAGAACACAAACTTGGGCACTTTCTTCAACACTTTCTCCAAAATCGTCAACGCAGGGATTCCAAGGGTCCTCAAAGCGGCATCACTGGCAACAATCTCGGCCTCAGGGGTCGAGTGAGACGTACATCCTTGCCTTTTAGATCCCCCAGCGAGTGGGAACCGCGTGTGATTTCCTTGGATGTTCATGTGCATTCCCGTTGTCGACCTCACCGACTCTTCACACCCACAAAAGTCCGCATCTGAGTAGACCGCAAGGTGCAAGTCAGCAAGTGAGTCACCCACCCAACCAATCATTCTCATGCTTTTGGTGTGATGGATGTAACACATCAGGTGATGGAGACGTTTGTCATCCTCCACCGTCCATTTCGAAACGTTTCTCGCCAGGAGATTAACCTGACGAAGCAAGTCAAATCTGGCAATCCGTGCCCCGTAGAGGACTTTCATGAGTACACTAGCGGCATGGGGGGCCAGCTGACCACGAATCAGCTCCGGCTGCGCACCACCGGCGCCTTCTCCCCGTGGAAGGGGATGGAGCTCTCCAAGTTCACTCAAGGTCTTGTTCCATCGCTCCTTCGGAATGGGGTTTTGGCATCTACACCACACACATTCAATC